TTGGTGTTATTGATTTTAGCCATTCTGACCGGAGTAAGATGGTATCCCAGAGTGGTTTTGAGCTGCATTTCCCTGATGGCTAAGGATGTTAAGCAGTTTCTCAAGTGTCTTTCAGCCATTTTAGATTCTTCTGTTGAGAGTTCTCTATTTAGTTCTGCACTCCACTTTTTAATTGCATTTCTTGGATTTTGGTGGCTAGCTTCTTGAGTTTATTGTATATTTTATTTATTGGTGATCAGCCCTCTGTCAGATGTGGGGTTGGTGAATATCTTTTCCCACTCTGTGGACTGGCATTTTGTCTTGCTGACTATGTCCTTTGCTTTCCAGAAGTTTCTCAGTTTCAGGAGGTCCCATTTATTAATTGTCGATCTCAATGTTTGTGCTACTGGTGTTATTTTCAGAAAGCAGTCTCCTGTACCAATTTGTTAGAGGATACCACCTACCTTCTCTTCTAGTAAGTTCAGTGTGGCTGAATTTATGTTGAGGTCTTTGATCCATTGGGATTTAAGTTTTGTGCATGGTGATAGATATCGATCTATCTCCAATCTTCTACATGTCTAAATCCAGTTATGCCAACACCACATATTGAAGATGCTATCCTTTTTCCATTGTGTAACATTAGCTTCTTTGTCAAAACTCAGGTGTTCGTAGGTGTGTGGGTTAATATCAGGGTTTTTAATTTGATTCCTTTGGTTCAAAGCTGTTTTCAGGACTATGGCTCTATAATAGAGCTTGAAGTCTGGTATGGTGATGCCTTGAGAAGTTCCTTTATTGTACAGAGTTGTTTTGGCTATCACGGTTTTTTTTTGTTTTTCCATATGACATTGAGTATTGTTCTTTCAAGGTCTGTGAAGAATTGTGCTGGGATTTTGAGGGGTATTGCACTGAAACTGTAGATTGCTTTTGGCAAGATTGCCATTTTTACTATGTTGATCCTACCTATCCAAGAGTATGGGAGATCGTTGCATTTTCTGGTATCTTCTTTAATTTTTTTCTATAAAGACTCAAAGTTCTTACTATACAGGTCTTTATCATTTTTGGTTAGTGTTACCCCAAAGTATTTTATGCTGTTAGTTGCTATTGTAAAGGGTGATGTTTCTCTGCCTTCTTTCTCAGCCCATTTATCATGCATATGTACTAAGGGTACTGATTTTTTTGAGTTAATCTTGTATCCTACCACTTTGCTGAAGGTGTTTATCAGCTGTAGGTGTTCTCTTGTAGAGTTTTTCGGGTCACTTATATAAGCTGTCATATCATCTGCAAATAGTGAGAGCTTGACTTCTTCCTTTCTTTATATCCCCTTGACCTCCTTTTGTTGTCTTATTGCTCTGGCTAGAACTTCAAGTACAACATTGAAAAAATATGGAGAGAGTGGGCAGCCTTGTCTTGTTCCTGATTTTAGAGGAATAGCTTTGAGTTTCTAACCATTTAATTTGATGTTGGCTGTTGGTTTGCTGTATGTTGCTTTTATCATGTTTAGGTATGTTCCTGTTATTCCTGATCTCTCCAAGACCTTTATCATGAAGGGATGCTGGATTTTGTCAAAGGCTTTTTCAGCATCTAGTGAGATGATCATGTGCTTTTTCTTTTTCAGTTTGTTTATATGGTGCAGTTT